GGGATCCCTTATATTTTATTGACATTTTGCTTCAGATTTAACAGTAGTAGAAATGTTTTAAGAGATATTAAGCTGCTGTTTGGTTATACACTAAATACCTTTAAACTGTAGTGATGTGAAGTAATGGAATTGTTGGAATAAAAGAAATCCCATTGAGCTCAGTAGACTAATTTTGCCTGATATACTATGTACTTGGATAGCCTTCATGACCATTGTTCTCCCATCCTAGGTCTGTTTTCTCTAGATCAGGGGTGTCAAACTGCTGGCCCGCAGGCTGGATGCGTCACGCCAAAACCGCGCCCACCCCATTTGCCGGCAATGGGAAAAAAGTCACGATATGTCGCGACACGTCATGTGACGTTGCGAGTTTGACAACCGTGCTCTAGATGCATTCAAAATATATCCCAGCTAGGAGGACTCAGATTGAGGTGTTGGACAGCTGTTGCAGTTAAAAGTAAGAACCAATAGTTTTTGTTTAAACAAGATCCCCTCAAATCAGTTTTCCTCTCCTGAATATCTGTCACAAAGAGTTAACACCAGTAAGAAAACATATATATTTTTTATTGTCTAGGTTAGGGGTAGGCAACCTTGGCTCTTCTATGACTCATGGACTTCAACTCCCAGAATTCCTGAGCCAGCCACGCTGAGGGGAAAGGGAGAGGTTTCCAAGCCGAGCCATGCTGGCTCAGGAATTCTGGGAGTTGAAGTCCACGAGTCATAAAAGAGCCAAGGTGGCCTACCCCTGGTCTAGGTCAGTGATGGCGAACCTTTTAGAGACCGAGTGCACAAACTGCAACCCAAAACCCACTTATGCATCGTCGGGTGCCGGGTGGGTGTGGGCCATTGGCTGGGCGTGGCCCATTGGCTGGGCGTGGCCCATTGGCTGGGCGTGGCTGCGGTGGTAATGGCAGACTGGGTGGGACTAAAAAGTTCAATCAATCAATTCCAACTTTACAAGATCTTTTTTTTTCCTGCGAGAAGTTGAAATTGATTGATTGATTGGACCTTTTTTTTTTTTTTTGCACACGGCGGCAGAAGCCTAAAGTGAAAAGGTTTTATAAAACCCAGCTGAAGGGCTAGGACTGGGACGAAGGTGCGCGTGCCCACAGAGAGGGCTCTGCATGCCACCTGTGGCACGCGTGCCATAGGTTCGCCACCACAGACCACCTAGGTTCTTCTACTTCCTATGGAAGAAGTAGTTCTGACCTCTAGATGAAGCAGACAGTCTCAGATAAATCTCTGAATGGCTTGTCACATTTGCAAGTAATTTAATCAGTCATAAGTACACACACTTTTACTTCACTCTTTCAATGGAGAAGCTGAATAATATACAAGGTACAGAACTTGTTTTTTTTTTTTAAACAGCAAATGTAATTGGTGCTAAAGATTTACACTTATCAAATACAGTCACCTTTATCAATATGTTCTCTTTCTCTCCCCCCCCTTCCTGCTCCATTTTCCAAGACCCCACATTGTCTCATTGTATTCTGTTCCTTTGTCTTTTCTGGTGTGCTGATGTGGGGATGGCATCGTTTTTTTGAGAATGGGTTGAAGAGATTTATATGGTTGTGCAGCTTGTGAAAACAACTATTTCCGAGTACAATGAAAGAAGCCAGCATAACAACAAATGCTTAGGGGGTTCCCTGTTGTTTCTCCTACTTGGCTGACCAGTTTATTTCAAACAAGGGTTTTTTAAGATCTTCTCTCAGAGGACCATCTGTGTCGGTTCCATAACCACTGGACCACGACGATCCTCAGCCATTACTGTGCCGTAGGAAATTTCTGGGATCGCTTCTTCTTTCAGTTTCTTGTAAGAAACGTCTGTGTCCTCTTCACTATCTCCTCCTAGGG